CATATAACGAGTATCGGTTCATTTATGACAGGCAAGCTACCGCTCTAGTCAATAACTGTTGCAAAATGCATCTAGCAGACGCTTAAATACCATGGGGCTTCGTTCACAGGAATGGCTTCCTAGGTATGGATAGAAACACGGACAATGCCCTATTTCATAATACTCTTTTGGAGGAACAATGCGCTATTAGCATAATTCGGGAGCACAAATAAACATATCAAGTATTACGTAAAAGGAAAAAAGGAAACAAAAAATACCATACGGTTCGAACGTCAATCGAGAGGGGAACGAATGACTTTACTTTTATTTTTTCTTTAAATTCCAGCTGCTGTTGCTGAAATGAACATTTGAAGCCATTCGGCCAATCATCTCCAGCGGTGGAAGTAGACGGAAGGTCACTGCGGTGTGAATCGAGGTCCATTTCACTACAAACATTTTGCTTCAATGATATACAAACATAGGAAACGGTGAAAGCGAACATATGATGAACCGAATGTGCTCATAACATCGAAATACTTTCAACACATTATTTTATTCCTTCCTCAGGTGAGAGTTGACTATATATTCACTATACTCTATTCTAAATATAATTTTATTACTCTTTAATTAAATTAATTTATTTAGTCTAAAGTTCTGTTTGCTTTTGCTGTTATGTTTTAGTTTGTTATGTTTGCTGTTCTGTTAAATAGTATTATATTTTGTTATCGTACGGATATTCCATTTCCGTATACTTGTCCGTTGAGGCTGATAAGCAGGATTCGCCGGTAACGCGGTTCAAAGAATAAACTTTCATTGTCACTCTATCAATCACAGTCAGGACGATAACGCGTAACTGCTCCAATACCAATAAATTTGAAGGCATACTGTACCGATTCCTTTCCCGTAGATGCAGAGGTAGAAAGGCATTTAAGAAGGTCACGGCTCCAAGGTATTTGAGCCGGCACCTGCAGTGTGAGAAGCATCTCGCATCATTTTGTCGCAATAATTACTTTGTGCTTATCACAAACAACGTTTGTGATGGTACTCATTTAATACTGATGCAAAGCATAAAAGCATGTTCGTAGGGTAGAGTGCGTTATATAGCGCATAAATCCTACAAACGTACCGTGAAGCAAATGCGATAGCAAATGCGGAGTACCAGCTCCTGAAATATTGTACGAATGAGAAGATTTAAATAATTACAGGAAGATCATTTTGTTGTTGATCATTTACTGATGAACAGACTTCACGAAACACTGGATGCCTTTCAGCCAAAGGAGCTAGCAGAATTCAGAAACTGATTTAGTACTACGGATCATCTCCAGGTGTACAACAAAGAATAGAGTCATAAAACGAATATCAGCTTCCTCTCTGCCTAGAGATCGTCGATTTCGAAAAGGTTGTCGACACAATGCATCTGTTTAGTATTGGATTCCTTGAGAAGCCAAGGAATCGAGAGAGAGAGAGAGAGAGAGAGAGAGAAAGAATACAAAGGCCTCATCTCCATGATTTACAAAAATGCAGCCGCTATTGGAACGCTTCACGAAAGCACATGTGAGTTAAAAATCAACAACACCCTCTGAGAGGGCAACGCGACTGAAGTCATTCACTGTAGGTCTAAAGGAGACTTTCAACTCGTTCCGTTAGGTAAATCAGAGGCTGAACCTAAAAGAAGACCATTTAAGCAACGTACGATTTGCAGACGATATTTTTATCCTTTGAAGATCATGAGTAAAACTGAAAAAAAATCCAAGAGCTGAACGATCCAAGAATCAAAGTGGAACTGAAAATGAAATGAAGAAGACTCAGGCAATGTTCAATAAATACGTGACCGAGGGACCTGCTAAAGTCAAGAAACTTAAGCATGAATAAGTGAAAAATTACGTCTATCCAGAACAGTTCATCGACAATGAGAAATCAACAGAAGAATAAAAACAGCATGGAGCACTTCATGAAGGCTGAAAATTCAGGTAATGGGGAGACGTGTGCGACAGAATTCGATCAGTATATGCTCTCAATGCTAGTCTACGGCTGCGAAATGTGGCCCCAAAATCTTAAGGCTATTTATAAACTACAGACCATACAACACATCATAGAAATGCGTGTGTTTGGAATAATAAAACATAGGAGAACGAATAAATGGATAAGAGCACAAACAGTAGTCTGCGATGTCACTTTCAGAGTGGATAAGTAAAACTGAAAATGGACATAAAACGTTGCAAAAATAAAACTGACCGTCGCTTGTACTTAGTTCTATAAAAAAAATTAAAGTCCCGAGGAAAATCTCCAGATCGATGGCAGTATGAGAAGTTCGCTGGATCGAGGTGAATGAAAATAACAGATAAGAGAAGTTTATGAAAACGACTTCAAGGAATCTTCATTCAACAATGGGTGGACAAATGGTGATGATGATGTAG